CCACCTGTTACCTGGCACATTATTATTACAGATTCTTTATAGGGTTGGAAGAAACGTCAGAGGACATCTAATCCTTTTGTTCTCAACTGGGACAGGGTGTGGGCTCCTGTCATGTATCAGAATCCTGGGGGAGCTCTGACCGTGTCATTCTCACTTTCCAGCCAGACCTGCAAAGAAAAGAATCCGTAAGGGAGTCCTGGGCTAGTGTAGAAAAGCTTGTGTTGTTTGGTCTGTCTTATTTTATAAATAAAAAAACAGACCTGTGCCCAGCCAGTTCGATGGCCTCCCCGACTAGCCAGCTGGTGCCTGCATTAGCGCTGGCTCCTCCAAGTCTCATGGCTCTTTCCTGTGCTCCGCTCCTCATTTTCTCATGCCAGCCGCCCCTGTACTAACTTGATAGCCACCAGTTTCCCGGGTCAGAATTGCAGTTGGACTCTGCCAGTTCTTACCAAAGATTCTAAATCCAGCTTCTTTCTTTTTCCTTTAACTCCAACTTCAGGGAACAGAAGTCAAAGCAATAACATACTCGGCGATGCAAGTCTACAATGAAGAGAAACCTGAAGTGTTTGTGATCATCGACATTTAAGATACCAAAGAAAGGAAGAAAAGAAGAAAGAAAGAAAGAAAGAAAGAAAGAAAGAAAGAAAGAAAGAAGGAAAGACTCTTAGGAAGAACTGACTTGTTGTCTTCCTTTTAACAAAATGCAACGATTTATTTTCTATAGTGTCTTTGCTAAATGGAATTAGAGAACTGGGAATTTACAGTGTGACTTCCGAAATGGAAAACCAATGTGTAGCCTTGGTCTATGAGTCCTAGGTAATGAATTCTTCGATTTTTGAGGAACAGTCTTGTACTTGGTCATTTGCAGCAGTAGCTTTTCACCTTCCGGTGGAATGCAAGTGCTCCAGCGTGGGTCTGCATCCAATTCCAAACAAAATAATTTGATCCAGATATGACAGACAGTCTATGCCTGTGATCACAGCACTCAGGATCCTGAGCTTGAGGCCAGCTTTGGCTGTAGAATTAGTTTAAGGCTAGCCTAGGCAACTTAACATGGCTCTATCTCAAAAAAGGAAAGTGTAGGGGGCTGGAGAGATGGCTCAGTGGTTAAGAGCATTGCCTGCTCTTCCAAAGGTCCTGAGTTCAATTCCCAGCAACCACATGGTGGTTCACAACCATCTGTAATGAGGTCTGGTGCCCTCTTCTGACCTACAGATATACACACAGACAGAATATTGTATACATAATAAATAAATAAATAAATATTAAAAAAAACAAAGCTATAAAAAAAAGGAAAGTGTAGGGCAGGAAGGGTATGCAACCATGAGGTTGTGGTTTTTTTCGTTTGTTTGTTTTTCGAGACAGGGTTTCTCTGTGGCTTTGGAGCCTATCCTGGAACTAGCTCTGTTTAGGTTGCTAAGGGACAGGGCCAGCCTGTGTTCTGGCTGGTTCTGAGTGGAACCCTCTGGAAAATGGACTTGAGGTGTCCTGGTTTGTTTGTTTTTGGGTGTTGTTTGTTTGGCAGGTTCTCTGTGTTACCTCTAGTTGTCCTGGCCTTGAACTTGCAGAGATCCACCTGCTTCCGCCTCCCTAGTGCTGGGATTAAAGGCGTGTGCCACCACCTCCAGGCTCTGATAACAATGATACTTCCTATTTTTTCTTTTTAAAAAATTTTTTTATGGTTTATTTACCTTTATGTGCATTGGTGTGAAGTTGTCAGATCCCCTGCAACTAGATCTTAAGGCAGTTGTGAGTTGCCATGTGGGTGCATGTGGGAATGGTACCCCAGTCCTCTGGAAGAGCAGTCAGTGCTCTTAACCACTGAGCCATCTCTCCAGCCCCAACTTCATATTTTCTTAGAATATCTGATACTGTACCTTACATATAGACCCTTAGACATATAATTTTATTTATTACTTATTTTCACAGTGTTGGGGATTAAGCCCCATCACAGTAACCAAGGGCTTTACCACTGAGTTTATAGTTCAACCCTAAAGTGAAATTTTATTTATGTTTACTTATTTATTGGTATTTTTTTCCAGACAGGGTTTCTTTGTGTATCCCTAGCTAACCTGAAACTCACTCTATAGACCAGGCTGGCCTAGAACTAAGAGATCCTGCTTTTTGCCTCCAGAATGCTGGAATTAAACTCATACACCACTACCACTGACTTTCTGTTACTTTCTTTTTTTTTTTTTTTTGAATGCCAGGTCTTGCATATAAGCCAGGTTGGCCTTGAGCTCATAGTGCCTGCCTCTGCCTACTAAGTACTGGGATTAAAGGTGTACCCCAATAGATTATAATTTTATTAAAACCAGTCTATGCATCCAATTAGAGAAGAAAAATGTTTTTGGTTTTCTTTTAATGGCTCAGACATGGTGGTACATACTTTAAATCTCAGCAGAAACAGATGTATCTGAGAATCTGAGGTTAGCCTGGTCTACATAGTGAGTTCCAGGATGGTCAGCTCTAGAGAGAGACCCTATCTCAAAAAAAACAAGTTAAAAAATGTTCTGGGTTTGATTTGAAGCTTTACTTTCTCTTGAGGGATCTTCTCGGGATCAAATATGCAAAGCTGGCCTTGTTCACAAGACTCTGAGGGTTCCATGGGGTGGGGCCAGATTTCATCGCAGTCTCCGCAGGCTGCATTATTTTCTCTGGTTAGCTAATACAGATAGTAATATTAGTGAAGATGAGGCCAAGAAAAGCAGCTCCAAAAATGATTGTAACGTGATGACTGAGGATATTGCTTTTTTGTTTGTTTGTTTTTGCTTATTTTTGTTTTTCTAGACAGTTTCTTTGTGAAACAGCCATATCTGTCCTGGAACTCACTCTGTAGATCAGACTGGCCTCAAACACTCAAGAGATCACCTGCCTCTGCCTCCTGAGTGCTAAGGTTAAAGGCATGCGCCACCACCATTGCACAGTGGGTATTGCTTCTTACTGCCTTAGGCAAGTTTGGTCAATTTTCACCTAATTGGCAAGGAAATAATTTCATGGTTAGGGTCACCACCTTTAATGCAGTTCCTCTTGTGGTGACCCCATGAAATTATTTCCTTGACAATTCATAGCAAGTTTGCTACTGTTGTGAATCCTAATGTAAACATTTTTGGAGATAAAGGTTTACCAAAGGGCTTGAGACCCACAGGTTGAGAACCACTGCTCCAGCAGGTGCCCTTCCTGATAGCAGTATGTATTTCCTGATTTGATTTTATTATTCTTTACTTGTGTGGTAGATGTATATGGTGTGGAGACCAGGGTAGGATGTCCACAGTCTTCCTCAGCTATTCTCTGATGAGCCACGGTGTCTCAGGGAGCTGCAGGCACAGCATTCTGTCATGGCTCACTAACCTGATCGCTCTCAGCACCACCTGTACTCACCCACACATGCTTGGCTTTTTCACATGGGCTCTAGGAATGCAAACTCAGGTCCTCATGCTTGCAGAGCAATTATACTTACTGTGCCATACATTGTGTGTGTGTACTGTGTGTGTAGTGTGTAAATGCATATTTGTGCAGGTGCCTGTGTAAGCTAGCTGTCTCCTCTATCACTCTTGGCCTTAGTTCTTGAGACAGGGCTTCTTTAAGTGAACCTGGAACTCACTCCTAGGATCTGCTCATTCCCAGCCAACACGGGTTATATATGGCACTAGCCATGTCTGGATTTTCACATGGGCTAAAGACCAAATTCAAGTCCTTATGCCTTCATGAACAAGCACTTTTTCTACTGAACCATCCCCATCCTCTCTACTTAATTCCCCCCAACAATATTAGCTGATAAAAGTAATTTTTAGCAAGATTTATTTCTATATGCATGGGTTTTTTTGCATACATGTATGCCTGTGTACCACATACATGCAGTGCCCAGCAATACCAGATTTAGGGTCCTCTGAGCTGGAGTTACCAATCCAGCTTCTCTGAAAGAGCAGCCAGTGCTCTTGTGGTGAGCTCTTTCCAGCCACTCAAGAGTATTATTTATTGGCTTTTTTTTTTTAATTTATTTATTGGCTTTTCAAGACAGGGTTTCTCTGTGTTGTCCTGGAACTCCACAGACGTGGCTGACCTTGAACTCAGAGATTCACCTGCCCCTGCCTCCTGAGTGCTGGGATTAAAGGTATGCCCAGCAAGTAATATTAATTTTATGACAAAAAAATTCAACTATGAGCCAGGTGGTGGTGGCACATGCCTTTAATCCCAGCACTTGGGAAGCAGAGGCAGATAGGCGGATCTCTGTGAGTTTGAGGCCAGCCTGGTCTACAGAGCTAGTGCCAGGACGGCCTCCAAAGCTACACAGAGAAACTCTGTCTCAAAAAACAAAACAACAACAACAACAAAAAACTCATTAGCTCAGAAAAAAAAATTAACTTTATGTTTTACCTGTATGTATGTCAGTATACCACTTGAGTACCTAGTACCCAAGGAGGTCAGAAGTAGGTGCCAGATCCCCTGGAACTGGAGTTACAGATGTTTTTGACCTGCCGTGCTAGGAATTGAACATGTGTCCTCTGAAGAGCTAGTGCTCCTAACTGCTTGGCCATCTCTCCAAGCCCCAAGACTTGAAGTTTTTTTTTTTTTTTTAAAGATTTATTTATTTATTATGTATACAACATTCTGCCTAGATGTATGCCCGCACGCCTGAGGAGGGCGCCAGATCTCAGCACAGACGGTTGTGAGCCACCATGTGGTAGCTGGTGTCTGAGCCATCTCTCCAGCCCAAGACTTGAAGTTTTTAATAAATTTCCTGTTGGATAGCCAGACTCCCAAATTCAGTCTTATTTGGTTCCTTATGAGATTCAGGTTTAAAATGCGTTAACATTTTGCAGGCGGGTTTATTGGCAGGTGAGGGTGAGGGGCCCTGCCACCAAGCCTGATGACTGGAATTCCATCCTACATGGTAGGAGAGAACCAACTCCTACAAATTCTCTTTCGGCTCCCATACATGTCCTAGCACCTGCCCGCCTCCTCCCCCAAACATGAATACAGAAAAATGTGATAGAAGATTGTTTTAAAGTGTTGTGATAGATTTATTTAAAATATTTACTTAAAAAAGTTTGCTAAATAGATTTTTCCAATATTTAAAGAGATGGCATCTGCACAATAACAGAAAGGGTAACTGGTCATCCGTCATGCCAGTGCAAGCAAGGTCTTCCCAGAGCAGCGATGTATTTCAGGGCGACAGAGTTCAGAATGGATACAGTGACCTATTCGGAAAGCATGCAAGTTACATCAGGTCACTTCCAAGCCAGCAGGAGAAATCCATCAGCCAGGCTCCGCCTATGGAGAGGTACAGATGTTCTTGTAAACTGCAGGCAGGCATGCCTGCTCAGTGACTAGTCACTTCAGGCTACCTGATGTTGGGTTTGATTTCCTTTTCCTCCTCCTCCTCACTATCTTCGACTTGTTTTATGACCAGATCGGCAGACCCATCCTCTACAATCTCCACGTAGGATCTGTTCTCCTCCTCACTCAGATGCCATCGGGAATCCTTATCTCCGTCCGCGGGGGACACGCAATGTTGCTCGGCTTCCAGATCCACAGGGAGGCTGTCCATGCCGACTTCAGCCAGGCACTCGTTACACAGTCTGTAGCGCCTGGTTCCCTCCTGGACCACTTGTCCTGTGAGGTCAGTCACATGGCGTTTGCATTTCCTGCAGATAAGTTTGCATGCCTGGTGGATCTGAGTAGAGATTTAAGCATGGATTAAAATAAACTTTTCAGCCGGCGATGGTGGCACACTCCCTTAATCCCAGCACTCAGGAGGCAGAGGCAGTAGGATCTCCGTGAGTTTGAGATCAGCCTGGTCTACAGAGCTAGTTCCAGGACAGACTCCAAAGCCACAGAGAAACCCGGTCTTGAAAAACCAAAAAAATAAAAAAATAAAATAAAATTTTCAAAAGTGGGTTAGTTTGCTATTTTAGGGACCAGTTCATACACGTAAGATGTTCAAACCCTAATTATCAGAAAAGCTCCCAAGTATCAGTGACACATGTACACCATAGACACATCACATATCAGCTTTCTCCAAACAATGGCTGTAGTGGCTTTCTTATTACTATCAAATACCTAATAATTCTACACTTTCATTAACCCAAGAGTATTTTGACATGTGAGGAGGGGGTTCCTTCCCAGTGAGAAAGTTCCAAACACTATGTGCCATGTGCTGTTCTTTTGTTTGTTTGTTTTGTGAGACAGGGTTTCTCTGTGTAACAGCCCTAACTGTCCTGGAACTAGCTCTTATAGACCAGGCTGGCCTCAAACTCACAGAGATCCGCCTGCCTCTGCCTCCCGAGTGCTGGGATTAAAGGCGTGCATCACCATGGCCTGGCTTGTGTCATGTGCTGTTTTAAGAACTTTAAAGAACTTTTGTTGTCATTTTATCTTTATTTTTCAAGACAGGGTTTCTCTGTGTATCCCTGACTGTCCTGGAACTCACTCTGTAGACCAAGCTAGCCTCAAAGTCAAAGAGATCCACCTGCCTCTGCTTCCAGAGTGCTGGGATTAAAGGTGTGCGCCACCATTGCTGAGCTGAAAAACTACTGTTGCTGCTGTTGTTATTGAGTGTGTGTGTGGGGGGGATGTGCAGTTCTCTCCTTCCTCCTCAATGTAGGATCTGGGGATTGAACACAGATGACCAGGGTTTGTGGAGCAAGTGCTGTTCACTGCTGAGCTACCTCACTGACCCTGTTCTAAAGACTCTTTATATAGTTAAACTTTAGAGATCAAGCAAACAAAAAAAAAATTTACTTCGTGTGCTTTTTTTTTTACTAGAGAAAGAAAAATATAATCCCAAGTAATAAATTTACCAACATTTCTGCAATGATCACTGGTTATTTTTGTTAATAAAAGGTTGGCTAGGAGGGGGCTGGAGAGATGGCTCAGTGGTTAAGAGCATTGCCTGCTCTTCCAGAGGTCCTGAGTTCAATTCCCAGCAACCACATGGTGGCTCACAACCATCCGTAATGGGGTCTGGTGCCCTCTTCTGGCCTGCAAGCGTACAAACAGACAGAACACTGTATACATAATAAATAAATAAATAAATAAATAAATAAGTTTTAACAAAAAAAGAAAAGAAAAAGCCGGGGGGGGGGGGG